AATGTCATACTTACGACACAATTTGTTGTCACATTCGCCTTTGCATCCAGAGCATGGATTTCCAGTAGTTGCATAAGGATGAATTCCATCGATATCTCCACTGCAAAAGGAAGCGTCTGGTTGAAAAACCTTCGGAGTCAAAACTTCCCTCTGTTTGCCATCTGTCCTTATTGTATTTACAGGTTTTAAGACATTGCTTGGTTGGTTGTACTGATAGAGTAAATTACCCTGGGGCATAGTTGCATACAAAAATGGCACCCTGAAGACCGTCAAAGTTTTTGATACCATGTGGACAGTACACAACAGCGCAGCCAACCTTGTAGCTTTGTGCCCACACAACCTGAGAAAGGAAGGATACCACATATTTACATATATAGTATAAAACACATAACCTTATTTTTTTTCTGTCTGACGTTAAAACCAACACTTTTCCTGTCTCAGGTTAGATTGGAATGCAATAATTCAAGTTATCCTGAGCTCCAGAAGGGGGCATTTTTAAATTTCTTGCCTTTCTTCAAAGTCAAATGTTTACCGTCTGTCCACATCCCAGTAGTTTGCACCTGGAATGTGTGCTCATACACCTCAGACACACAGTGGCATCCTCGTCTGGCAGCAACATTCAAAGTCCTTCGATCCCACAAGTTTACACTTGAGGTGGTGTTTGCAGACTGCAAGTTTCAACCTTTTCCCTTCAGATTTAGCAAAGGTCAGGAGACTTTCAAGTTATCTCATCATAAATTGTTTCAAGGCATATTAATCCTAATATATGTAAACTTTATGTATGTACAATTGTCACTGTTCTCCTGTTTAGCAAATAGAAATAATTTCTATAATCCCAACTGACCTAAAACAGGAAATGTTAAATGTTAATGTCAGACACTAATTAAATAAGGGTATGTGGTTTTCGTACAGAGCAGAGTTTTATCTGTAGAAGAGCGATTTCTGTGCACATACCTGTCTATAGTGGCTACAGACAGCTGTGCATCTGTCTCCCTTGTAGGTGTAATGCTTGGCTTCATCCACCCACTTTTGAATGGCACTCTTTACGCTGAACTTATCCAGCGGGCCCGTCCAGATGTTCTCTCCCACGGAGGCAAATGTGGGGTGCATGTAATGAGCCTTACTGAGGTGGACATTGTGTCGGTCATTACAATGTTTCGCCCACGCTCTGGCGGTAATGGCCAACGCCTCATCCCACGACTTCATGACATCATGCACACGCGCAAACAAAATAAAACCGAGCATTATTTTTTTTTTACTTCAGTTACTTTTAAGTGTCACACAGGAAGTTATAAAAATGACCATGAACAGAACTAATTCAAAGTTATGCTTAGAAACCAAACTGGTGGTTTCATGGATTTAGGCAAAGTGTATTCACTTACAGCTGCCTCTGTGTTGATGAGAATACTTTCACCCACTTGTTGGATCTCCACAAACTACAATGTTTTTTCTCTCACTTTTTTCCATTTAATTACAGCCAAATTTCAGTTTTAATCAATGACATCCTGCAAAGCCACCAGTCTGTTCTCCTTTCTTGGCAGTGAAACACTGATGTGCAGGACTCACCATATACAGCATGTCGTTTGCAGGTGGTCTGACAGCTGAACGGGCTTTGTTGTGCTCCTCCACACACTCGGCGATGAATTTCTCATCCGTGATTTGCGGCAGCATCACGGCAGAAACCCCCAAATCCAGGACAAGAACAACCCACAGCAACATCTTCAGTTCTCTGCAAAGCGCCGTCTGTAAATTGTAAGGAGTTTAACGAACACAGGAAATGATCCTCAAAGACAGGATGTAGAGTAGTTTATTTTGGTAACACTTTATTGGAGGGGGTGTGCGTAAGACTGACATAACACCTGTCATGAACATGAACGAGTCCTTATGAATGTCTATGACTGTTGTCATGAAGTGTCATTCGGTAAACAATGACACTTTTAATGCAAAGTTGCATTAAAAGTCCATTAAAAGTGCCAACTTTGCACGATTTTGTAAATAATGACAATTTAATGCAACGTTGGCACTTTTGATGGACTTTCAATCCAACTTTTAGAGCAACTTTGCATTAAAAGTGTCATTATTTACGAGAGGCTTCACTTCAACACTGGATGCACTGACAGTGCCCTCTGTTGGTTCCCGTTTTACCTCACAACTGGACAGAATTCATCTCCATGGGTCACTTCACATCAAATCGACAGTCACATGCGGTGGTCCTCAGGGATCAGTCCTTAGTCCTATACTCTTTATCCTTTACTTTCTTCCCCTCGGCCAGGTTGTCAGCCTTCATAATTTCTGAAAGACCTCCTCCTATCACCTATGAAACATTTCCAAAATCTGTCCCATTCTCTCCCTCTCAGACAACGAAAACTGGTCTATGACTTTAATTCCTAGCTAGAGCCTGCAAAGGCTCCAGCACATCCACAACTCTGCAGTTGGGATCCTAGTGAGAGTGCACTTTCATGACTACATTACTTACATCCTCCTCTCTCTCTCTCCACTGGGTTCCCGTTTCCACCACTATTTTATACAAGATTTTAATCCTCACACACCAGTGCATTTATGCAAATGTCCCAACCTATGTCAAACAACTGCTTAATCCACAAAACACAATTTGCTCAATTTTCTCCACATACCCAAAATCAAACTCAGGACTACGGGGATTTAGGGCGTTCTGTGCTGACGCTTTATGCTTAAGTCTTAATAGTTTAAGAAGACGCTTAAGACATTTCTTTTTACCAAAATATTTGGTTCTCAGATGTCTATTTTTAACCTCTTTTATTCATTTATGTATTTTTGTCCACTCTAATTGCTTGTTTTATTTTTCAGTCTTTGCAGCCCTTTGAGGTCTCAACATACAAACAACATTATGAATAAAATCCAACGCATTATTATTTTACTCTTATTACCTGAATGATTTTGTGCATGTGTGCAGCGCAACAGATTAAGCACTTGTCATTGAAGTTTGGTTATGGTAATTTTTTTCTATCTAAATTTAATTTAACAAGGAAAATATATTTCATTACTTTAGTGAAATGATGACATTTACATATGCTAATATTGCAATGCCTTAATATCATGACCCATGGGTGTTTGTTGTTCATTATTGTTGTTTGGGTCTTACCATAGACATATCCCCTTGGTGGGCCTTTTATTTTTTGCTTTGTTGATATTTTTGTTTTCTGTGTTTATTAATCATTTCCCTCCACTTTTTCTGCCCTGCATTCTCTCCCAGCTGATTCATATTCGACTGATTAAGCTTACCTGGTTTCTATGTCAGTAATCACGGGCGCGTGCAGCTTTACGGCAGTATGTACCTTGAGATTTTTCTCTGAGTGGACCCCCCTCCCCCCAAATGGTAGGTATTGTGCTTTTTATTTTCAGTACATGCGTCTTTGTGGGTGGGCACATGTAGGCAATCATTCTAAGCCTGAATGTTATTGATGAGTTTTGTTTATTTGGCGCCTTGGCGTTCGTTCTTTGTGTGAGCTAAATGTGGCTAAATCGAATAACCGGACTTTTAACCTTGACGTATTTCTAAGATGGGTCGCATTGACCCCAACTGATTTTTTTAATCCTGCATATGTACGCTTTTACAAGCTTTCTATTATTATTATTATTATTATTATTATCTTTGGTAGTTTCTAGAAATGAGCCGCTGACGGGACACCATCGATTCTCCACTGACAGGCCGCGACATCGTCTGCCGCCGCGCTCTTCCTCAGGGTCACGCCACACTGGGAGAGTTAAACAGTTAAATCTAGTCGTAACGTTTGTCAGAGTATAAATGAAGTCGCTTCAAATCCTCCTCGGGAAGTCTCAAATAAACCACATAAACCTGGGAATCATCGTCCTCCTCATCGCACAAGTAGGCGTTGCTTTCCTGTCTTTATAATTTCTCAATAAAAAGACAAAAAGTTATGCGGGCATGAGTTTGTGTGTGTCGCCTTGTCTGGATCAGATCGGTGGTTTCTGTGCCATGCCCATCGCGTTCATGTGCAGGTTAGGCTTGTGCGGTTTATGCGTGTTTTGATCCGGTGCAGCGATAGTTTTGAGCGTGACCGCCGATAATGGCCACCCTGCACGCGCCCGTGTGTCCACGGCATGTCAACCTCCTCAGTATTTGAGCGGTTGCTTTTGTCCGTCGATGGTTTCTTCTGTCGCTCTCACCCTGTTCTGATCATGGCTCAATTGGAAGTTTATATTTTATTTTCATCCTATTTTCAACTCCCCCACCGTCTAATTTCCGTTTGGACCCATGAGAGTTAAACCTGACGAGCAATTAGCTTTAATGGCAATAAACCCGCTTAGCTAAAAAAATAAAAAATAATTTTACCGGCAAATGTTCGTTTAATCTAAAAAAACTCCTAGTTTTAGAATATAACAACAAAAGCACAGTTTAAATCACACACTTTTTCAAACATACACTTATTTACGTCAATAAACATACCTTCTGCCGCTACAAAGGGGGCAGGTAATAAAATACCTTCTTATAAGCTCCGTTAATTCTGTATTTTGTCTGCCGTTAAGCTGAATTTACGCTAACCGTTAAACAGGAAGTTGTCATTTCAAAACAAAAGCATCCCTACTCAAACAGGAAGTTAAACATATTATAATCTTAAAGCGAGATGGATAGATACCTTCCTGCGCAAAGCAAACCGCCCAATATTTCCCTGCCCCCCCCCCCTTCCCCTTTACGCAAAAGCGATGCAAAAGGACTCGAATTTTCACGGGTTAGTGAGTGAAGGATGCTTGGATTGCACTTTAGTATATTATTTTAGTCCATAGGTTTGGAATTGTTTATGTCACGATATCGACGGTGGGACGCGAACACGCGACCCTGTGATTCGCGAGGTTCCTGTTTCACTTTGTGAAGCCGCTCACGAAAAATCTACCTCGGAATTTTGCGTTGTGGACTCGTCAACCTTATATGAAAATGTATATATTAAGATGTGTAACAAAGAATAAATATGAATGAATTCTTTGTCAGATTCGCAGAGGCTACAATAATGACTTCCACTGTTCATTTTTAAGTTTAAAGTTGTTAATTTGAGCAAATGACAGGGAAATCTTTGAATGATATGATTAGGACGTCCTTTAAGAGTTTGTCAAATGTATATTTTAGGCTAATTACGCATTCACTCTGTTATTTGCCTTTGTATCAATTTTCTCTGTGTGATGTTCTTCAATGTTTTTGCTTTTCTCTTCCTGCTGAGAATAAAACACCCCCACCTACGTTCTCAAAAAATGCCACTTGTTTTTCAATCTCTGCTTTTATTTATATATATGCAAGTCAGATAATATTCTGGTGAAAAGCCTCAGAAACAAGAGTTGTTGCATCTTTAAATACACTATTAACTTCGCCCAAAACCAGGTTATCAACATGACCTTTCGTAAGTTTCTCTTATCTCTGTAAGGTGTCTTCATTTCCTGTCTATTTCAACAGTTTTTAACAGTTTTTGCTTGTCACTCAAAAATGTAAAATTAAAGTTTTTTGTTTTTATGATGTGAATACTGTTAAATAGTTCTTCGTCATTCATGTTACACTACACATTACACTATTATTTTCACCAGAAGGTGATGGATAGTCGTCAAGAGTCCATGTCCTGCAACTTTTGGATGTCTCTCTGCTTCAGCACACCTGGCTCCAACATTAGCTAATGTAGTGCTAGACTGCATGATTGTGAAGCAGTTTCATTATTTAATTCAAGGGATACATCTTAAGGTTGCAGGTTGTGCTTTTGCTGTGGGCAAAGCACAACCCACGTATGGAGACCTTAGTCCTCGAAGCGGACGTCACGGGCGGGTTCGAGTCCCGGCCTGATGACCTAACCCTAACCGTACTCTCAAAGACTGCCTGAGCCAAAAATAAACCTTAAAAATAAGACAAGTTGCAAGACTCTGGCCCTTGACCACTGGTCTAGGGCAAACTCTTACCCAGTGGGATGCCCTTTGGCATTCAGAATTATATTCTTATTTTCTTGACATGGATTGAACAAGGTGTTTGAAATATTCCTTTGAAATTGTGATTTTTATTGCCATGCAGTTGCTATCACATCAGTATTCCAAGAAAATTCCTCACTCCATTGTACCACCACCAGCAGCTTTTAATGTTCAGAACCAAACTGATTGTCACATCTGAATGTAGCAGCACTGGTAAAGGGGATTCAGGTTTAGGTCAATAAAGACTTGGAAGTGCTATTATACGGTAGATTTTGTCTGTACAAGCGTCATCCACAGAACAATCACAAATATAAGGTTGTGGTAGCATTTTGTTGTTGAGATAATGGAGATGTGCTCTAAAATTGTGTTGCTTGGCAATATCGTTTGCATACTCCACTAGTACATGTGGAGGTCATTGTGGGACGCCATCCATCTGGGTCTCCCATCAGACCAAAAACACTACTCATAGCAGAAGAGATTGGGGTAAACGTAATGGACTACACATGCAGCAATGCACGTCAAGATGACGGCGATGGGCCGCACGATCAGGACATCCAGAAAAGTGTTGGTAGGTGCAGCGCTGCTTCTAGGTCCATCAGTGTCCCAGCCTGGAGCCCAGTTGTAACCTAGGAGACCAAAGTATCTATTTTTAGATTTTCAGTGGAGTACAACTGGGCACTTTTACTTTGATAGGATTCTGGATTTTCTGCACAGTCACATACTTTTTCTGGATTCTCGTTCTGGATTACCTGCAGCGAAACACAAAATGCTTTAGCATAGTCTTCCCGGTTCGGAAATGTGGTTCTGGTAAATTTAGTCCAATATTGACATTGCTTTAGCCATGACTTTTAAACACAGAAATGTCATACTTACGACACAGTTTGTTGTCACATTCGCCTTTGCATCCAGAGCATGGATTTCCAGTAGTTGCGTAAGGCTGCTGTCCTCTGATATTTCCACTGCAAAAGGAAGCGTCTGGTTGAAAAACCTTTGGAGTCAAAACTTCCCTCTATTTGCCATCTGTCCTTAGTGTATTTACAGGTTTTAAGATATTGTTTGGATATTTGTGCTGATAGAGTAAATGTGGTTGCTGCTGATTCATTTGATGGTAAACCATTTCCTGCTTCACCAAACCACTTCAGGTTTGTACCACATGTTGTAATGTATAAAATGTAAAGTCTATAGGGAAAGGGATCAAGTTACCCTGGGGCGTAGTTGCATACAAAAATGGCACCCGGAGATTGATGAAAGTTTTTGACACCATGTGGACAATGCACAACAGCACAGCCAACCTTGTAGCTTCGTGCCCACACAACCTGAGAAAGAAAGAAGGATACCACATATTTACATATAGTATAAAACGCATAATCTTTTTTTTTCTAACATTAAAACTGATAAAACATTTCCTGTCTTTGGTTAGCAAAAAGAAATTATTTCTATAATCCCAACTGACCTAAAATGATAAATGTTCAGAGTTAATGTCAGACACTAATTAATATGTGGTTTTCATACAGAGCACAGTTTTATCTGTAGAAGAGCGATCTCTGTGCACATACCTGTGTGTAGTGGCCACAAACATCTGTGCATTTGTTTTCCTCGTAGCTGTAATCCTGGACTTCACCCACCCACATTTGAACGGCACTCTTTACGCTGAAGTTATTCGGCGGATAGCCCGTCCAGATATTCTCTCCCACAGAGTCAAACGTGGGGTGCATGCGGCCGACCTCCCTGAGGTGGACGTTGTGTTTAAAATCACAATGTTTCCCCCACGCTCTGGCGGTAATGGCCAACGCCTCATCCCACGACTTCATGACATCATGCACACGTGCAAACAAAATGAAACAACACATTATTTTTACTTCAGTTACATTTAGGCGTCACACAGGAAGTTATAAAAATGACAGTGACCAAACTGATGGTTTCATTGATTTAGGCAAAGTGTATTCACTTACAGCTGCCTCTGTGTTGATGAGAATACTTTCACCCACTTGTTGGATCTCCACAAACTACAATGTTTTTTCTCTCACTTTTTTCCATTTAATTACAACCAAATTTCAGTTTTAATCAATGACATCCTGCAAAGCCACCAGTCTGTTCTCCTTTCTTGGCAGTGAAACACTGTGATGTGCAGGACTCACCATGTACAGCATGTCGTTTGCAGGTGGTTTGACAGCTGAGCGGGCTTTGTTGTGCTCCTCCACACACTCGGCGATGAATTTCTCATCCGTGATTTGTGGCAGCGTCACGGCAGAAACCCCCAAATCCAGGACAAGAACAACCCACAGCAACATCTCCAGTTCTCTGCAAAACGCCGTCTGTAAACTGCAAGGAGTTTAACGAACACAGGAAATGATTCGCTCTTCAGAAACAGGATGTAGTGTGGCTACTTGAAATCTTAGTGGACAATTTCTACATGTATCTTGTGTGTCAAACTCATCTGGCAGCTTTCAAAAGTAGCTATGTGATAAAATGTTAAAGGGATTGCCAAAAGACCAAACTTTCTACTTGGGAGTTTGAAATATTTCAGCTATTAAGCGGATGTAGAAAAAGAGGAACATCTATTCCTGTTTTCATTTTTGCAAACAGTAAAGTGAAACTAAGTGTGAAAGGTGCAGCACCGTTTGGAAATATACTACATTATATGTAGTATAAGTTGCCATCTGTGTTGTGCATCACACTCTTGCACTAATAAGCATAAAAAAGCAAAGTTTGTGTGTGTCGCATTGTGCGCCTTAGTTGGTTCCTTGTGTGGATCAGATCTGTGGTTTCTGTTACACGCGCATCGCGTTCATGTATCAGTGTGGGTTTGTACGGTTTATGCGAGTTGGGGTTGTGGCTGTGTTCGTGTTGGGATCAGGTGCGGTGATAGTTTTGAGTGTAACCCCCGATAATGGCCATCCTGCACGCGCCCCTGTCAGTAATCAGCATCAACCTCCTCAGTATTTGAGCGGTTGCTTTTGTCCGTCGATGGTTTCTTCTGTCGCTCTCACCCTGTTCTGCTCAACTGGAAGTTTATCTTATTTTATTTTCATCCTATTTTCAACTCCCCCACTGTCTAATTTCCGTTGGGAGCCATGAAAGTTAAACCTGATGAATAATTAGCTTTAATGGCAATAAACCCGTTTAGTTGGAAAAAAAAAATATTGATGATTACAGCCAATATTATATCGTTTAACCTAAAATAACTCCTAGTTTTGGAATGCAACAACAAAAGCACAGTTTAAATCAGATAATATTTCAAACATACGTCAATAAACATACTTTGTGCCGCTGTAAAGGGGGCAGCTAATAAAATACCTTTTTATAAGCTCCGTAACTTCTGTATTTTGTTTGCCGTTAAGCTGCATATACGCTAAATCAGTGGTTCTTAACCTGGGTTCGGCGGAGCCTCTGCCGCGGAGATAAAGACACACTTATATAAAGTCGTGATGACGCCCCGCTTTGCCATCACTCGCTGCAGAGGATCACGTTACATTGCTGAGCCAATCAGAGGATCACGTTACATTGCTGAGCCAATCAGAGCTGCGGGAAGGAGCTCCTCTCTCAGCAGGGATTTGAACTTGTGTCTTTAATTACTTCAGCAAAACTCACCGTTTTTACCAAATTCTGTAGCTTTGGTGTACTTCTAAATCTGCTCCTTAGTCGCATCTTTTCGGGCCTGCTACTGCCTCTAGTGGCGTGGGGGTGGTAACACAACTAATATAATTACATTACTAAATCAGAATACCACAAAGTCTCTATTATTTATTATTAATTTTTCATTCTCTTAAGAATGTAGAGCTAATTAAATGATCTAAACAAGACCTTAAAGTGGTTCCAGTTTCTCTCGATGGCCACCCTTTTGAAACTGTGGAAAATTTTAAATACCTTGGGTCGTTCCTGGACATTCAGCTCAACTTTGCTGAAAACACTGACTATATTTTTAAGAACTGTTCTCAGAGACTCTACCTTTTAAGAAAACTTAGTGATCTTGGGGTGACCTAACTAGAATCTAGTTGGGTCACCCCAATGTCTTGAATTTGGGAGGAGAAAAAAAAAATTTATCACTACAGAAGGGTTCAGTGAATGCGCATATGAAACTGGTGGGCTCGGAACCTCAAAAAAGGTTAAGAACCACTGCGCTAAATGTTAAACAGGAAGTTATCATTTCAAAACAAAAGCATCCTACCTCAAACAGGAAGTTAAACATATTATAAACTAAGGGCGATACAGGCCAATACCTTTTTTTGTTTGTTTTTACATTGTTGTCTACCTTATATATAAATACTGATAAGATGTGTAACAAAAAAAAAATAATAAATTCTTTGTCAGATTCACAATTCACACAGGCCACGATAATGGCTTCCACTGTTCATTTTTAAGTTTAGTTGTTCAAATGACAGGAAAATCCTTGAATGGTATTGTTTGTGATTATGACATCCTTTAGTTAAGACTAGTGGTTGTCAAACGAATATTTTAAGCTGATTATGCGTTCAATCTGTTATTTTGCATTACAGCAATTTTCTCTGAATATGATGTTCTTCAATGTTTTTCATAATCCTCCATCGAAAGATGATGCTCATTTGGTGTCGGGAATGTTTATTGACTCAATTTTTCTGTTGTTGCTTCAGTGAATTTGTGGTTCATATCATGGTCTCTTGAAGAAATCTGTAGATGCACATTTACCCAAATTACTTAAGCCTAGCTTGACGTTTGGTCTTTGTGAAACAGCTTAATTCAGGTTGAACTGATGGCATTGTATCAAGCTGAAGTGTTTCTCTTATCCTGGATTTCTGAGTCCTGCCTTCAGCTTCATGAGAAGGTGTATTGAACAAGCAGTGATTCTTGAGAATAGGGACAAAATGGGTTTTAATTTTCCCATATTTTTTTTTTATTTCTCAACCTTATGT